CACAGATCTTGGTTGGATGCCAGTTGGAGGCTGCTGAGCAAATTCGTTGGTAAGCAACAGATGAAATCTGCAGTTCCAAGACACTGTGCAAAAAAAAACGAAGGTACTACTGTACTGCTCTTTGCTCCCACTAGGCACCGGGTCAGCACCGCAGGTGCTGAGTTTGATAGTCTATGAAGTCATTGTTAAGTCAACCAGGAGCATCCAATGGGTGTCCAATGGAGATTCCAGTGTAGGGTAGTCCAGCCAGGACACCCAGACAGGATGCGATGCTGGAATGTTGATTTTGGGACGAACGGGCCACGAACGAAGGCACTCGGGTCTCGTTCTTCACGCCATGTTCTTCCACTGCGAACCTCACAGCATGAGCGGCACCTAGTAGATGGCCTTTTTGCTCCCCCCTTGGGTGGTTAAGGATTTGGTCCAGAATGGTGACCGCTACAGGATGATTCCAGTATTGTCTTTTTGGGGTCTTTGGAGTTGATTTTTGTTGAAAGACCTAAACTATCCTAAACCCAAACAGCATCAAGGTTGGGTTGTTTTCACAGCAGGACAAGGCCAAATCACGTGGGAGTTGTCCAAAGAATTTGGCACGATGTGTTTGATTGATAGCAGGTGGTCTCCAACCAGATACACCGCGCAGAGGCATGTAAAAATGCCTCCAACCTGACCTGACCTAAGAGCAACGGAATCCAATAGAAATTGCCTCCAAGCTAGTAGCGATGGCCTCCAACCTAGTAGCGATGGTCTCCAAACTAGTAGTGGTGGCCTCCAACCTGCTAGCAGGGCCTCCAACCTAAGAGAACCAAAATGAAGAATCCGGCGGCAATCCGGTTTCTGGGAAAAGGTATTTGGACAACCCCCCTGGGTTGAAGACCTCTACTGATCATTGGAAGTAGATGAAGTAGTCAAACGGAATGTGCTCCGGGCTCTCACTACTGGGCTCACCAAGCTCTCACTACCGTGCAGCGGTCCCAGGAGTGTTCACAGGCCGGAGCCGTGCCAGAGCACGTTTCACCGAGCTCATTGAGAGAAGTCGGGTAGACACAGCTCTCAGATCGGAGCCGTGCTCGTGACCCGTGACATCGTCACGTACCAGCACATGTTCGCAGAATTGATGCGCGTGCGTGCGTTTGAGCTCAACGGTCCAGTGTCCCTTTAGGTGACCTAGCTGGGCGTTTGATATAGATAAAGGTCTTTCGAAAAATGGGGAACTTGGGATGTTGATTCTCGCTTTGGAGATGATGAAATGAAGAACATCTCCTGACGACGTGAAACTTCGTCCAGAACCGACGCTCTTGAACTTTGGGTCAGGCGAGTCGTCACAGCCCCAAAACCGGATTGGCGAAGCAGGGATTATTCAAGAAAGTCTATTCCTTACCTAATAGCAACGGAATCTAATAGAAATGGCCTCCAACCTACTAGCGATGGCCTCCAACCTAGTAGCGATGGCCTCCAATCTAATAGCGATAGGTCTGCTATAGACGGAGAGTCTCCATGTTTCAAGAAACCCCAGAAGGCGGAAAGATGTTTCTGTAGAGCCTTTGAGAAGTCGGTGGGACACTCCTTATGCTGGATATCGAGGCAGAAGAGAACGTCAGGATTTGACTCCAACGCGCTCATCATGAGGAGGATAGGGGACATCTAGAATCATCATCTCAGGTCCCAGCAATCCTTGGCCAAGTCATGCGTCTGAAATTCTGCGACTGATCTGAGTTAGTGGCTGAGTCTACGGCTGTTGGGCCTCTCCCTGGTTTTGTCATTGGCACAGTCATGCCTTCTTCTGCCATAGTTTTTTGGTGTTGGTGTTCAGACCAACGAGGAACCGATTCGCGTGCGAGCCTCGGTTCGGACGTCTGTTGAGTTCTTTCAGCAGGGGTGAGCCACGAGCCCACGAGAATTCAGAAGCACCAACTGTTTTCAGGACGCATCCGTGTGCCAGATTGGATGAGGCGAGCTTCGAGCTTCGCTCAAAAGGAAAAAAGACCACTTCGAGGCGTTCGAGGCATGGCGCCCCCCCCTTGCCCCCTTGAACATGAGGTGCCATTTTCAGGTTAAAGGTGTGATGCTCGTGATTGTCAGGTCCTTGGGCTCACCCAAGCTGGCTCACCTGACAAGTTCATATCCCAAGACCGTGTTAATTTTTAGACATGAACAATGGGTGTCATGAGTCATGGGTGTCATGGGCATAATGGCTGAGCAGCGGATGGCTGCCTTCCCCAAACTCTGAAGGGAGCAGAACATCCAGCTGTGAAGGAGCGCAGTGTCATGCATTCGGATGTCTTTAGGCCAGTACTGTAGCAGCTACTCAGCTACTGTCAGCTAACTGTCAGGAGAACGACTGATCTCTGTCAGCCTGTCAGCACTGCACGGATTGGATTTGGAGGAACTATCTCATGCGACCTGAAGGGACGGATTGGAGGAACTAAGGAAAGCATAGGAAAGCCGATGCCACGCATTCTGCATATCAGCCAGGAATTCCACCACGCATAGCTGGCACACTGCGTCCGCGTAGGTCGATTCTTCCCAAAAGGGAGTGCAGTCCAGCTGACCGCAAGACCTGACCATTCCAAGTCGGAGACCTGGCGCTGAATTCAGCTATCAGCTATCGGTGACGCCCGCATGTGGCTCAGGTACATGGTGGATGGGATGTTTAGGGGGGTTTGCTCCCACTTCATTGTTGGAAGTTGATGTAATTCATAGGTGTGGGTCATGTCATGTCCAGAGTGTGCATCCAAGACGAACGTCGAAGACGAGCGGCTAAGGACTTAAGGTATTAGGCCATCTTCTCTGTGAATGTCGTCGGACATCTTCCCCAAGGAGTAAGCATCCCTATAGTGCTGTACCAAGAGTCGCGCTTCTCAGAAAGTCTTGGGATTTGCCGAGAAGATGTCGATGCACCGCTTCGTACGAACTCGGAAAGGCCAAAGCGAGACGTACGTCCAGCACGTCCAAGTATGCTGCTTCGAGCATTGTCGCTTCAACTGTACTCTGCTGTTCAGAACTGTCTGAGGGGGGTCTTGTGGTTTTCGTGTTAAGCACGTTAAATTTGGAGAGAGGCCTTAAGCCCGGCATTGTCCCAGACAGGCCCCGCACAGGATACCTTCTCAGAGGCTACTTGGGAGCACTATAGGGCATACTTTTTGCTGTAGCGATAAGGTTGAATATGACGCTTTTCCCGATCACACAAGTCGTTCAATGTCACTTACGTTGAGAAGCTCAGTTTCTAAGTCTAATAGTTTCCCGTATTGTCGTGAGGTTTTGAGTGCTAGCAAGATGGTTTTGAACGCAGGATGCAGGACCTATGAAACTACATCAGCCAATCAGATGAGTCACACAGTCGGTCTGACAGGTCCCGGTCTAACGAGTCAGATGGATGGTTTCGTTTGAAGATCGCCCCTGAATTCAGATTCTGATCGCCTGATCATGCTTGATCTGCTGCAAGACCAACTGACACTGAAGCAGAAGAAAGCCCACGGGCTTCACCAATCTGGGCAAGTCAGTATCCAATGATAGGCCGAACCGAGTGACGCTGAATGTGTCCATAGGCTTTCAATCATGTGCTGTTGGATGGGTGGTATTTTCCGAGGACACCTACCGGAAACCACGGAGTGTTCATTTGTTGTGCTTGATGGGTTGTATATGTGTGCTTGTTCATTTTTTGACTTGAGTGTCAATACCTTGTCCGTTTGTTCATACAAGACACCGGATGCCAACGGTGTTGATCAATCCCAGACCCTCATAGACCCCAGGGCAGGGGCCGGACCCTCTAAACAGTTTGTTTGGGATCGCAAATTTGTTGGGATTGAGGCGCCCCCCCAAGCCGCAAGGGTTTACTAGGAGCAAGGACGCTACTAGCGTCTCCCAAAGCACCAAGGGTTGTTTGGAACATTTTAAAACAATCACAATGGGCGGGCAGAAGCTGGGAACTTGTTCTAGACTTCTCACATGACCACCTTAGCCCCCGCCGAGGGCTCAAAGCCACACTGCACAAGGTCGAAGAAGAACTTCCAAGATCTATCTGCACATGGCCTTACGCATTGCACGTCTTACACCCGGAAATACACGTCACACTGGAAAACACTGGAAAACACGCCAAGCCGTGAAGCTTTCAAACAGTTCAATGTGTGAACGTCATGGGTCCTAACAAGAAGCTAGTAGAAACAAGAAGCTACTAGTAACAAGTGCATCGCTTCTAGTAACAAGTGCCTTACTAGTAGTAACAATGTTTGCTAGTACAAACCTCTCAGGGGCGACGTCTTATGTGCCGAAGCACTGGCACCACCAATCGACCCCCTCTCTCCGGCGCGCGGCCCGGAGGGAGAGACGGGTGTCGTGAGCGACGACCGCGCGACGAGCCGCCCTCTCTCTCTGGACGACCCGTGCGGAGGTTGCGAGGCGACTCCGGCACTGGCAGTGATGCTGCAGGAAAAGAATATCATGTGTGTGGAGTGAGAACTCCTGAAGAATCATGAGAAGGTTTCTCTCGTGGCTGATGAAATTGTTCGAGCCTACAGAGGGTTGGTTTCCGTCACCCAATACGGGGAACAGAAGATGGCAAGAAAACACTTGCAGTTGGTGTGGGGATTCGTGGGTGAGTGTTCTTTTGGGCCTGGCCCTGGGTGCGAAGCTCGCCAAGAAGTCCAGGTCTTGGATGTCATGGATGTCGGCAATACGAAACACCATCAAGGACACGGTTGGTTGCCGAAGACACTGTATAGTTTGTTTTGTTCATTTGGGGGGGAGCCATCGAGCCATCGAGCCATAGCCCGCATTTGTCCAGTGATTCCCAGTCTTCTCCCCAGTGTCAGACTATGTCATTCTATTGTCCTTGATGACCCATTCCGTGAAGTGATGTTCATCAGGCGTTCGCCAAGCAGAACATCCTGAACATCCTGAACATGAACATACAGATCCACCCGGTGAGAATGACCGGTGCGTGAGGACTCCACTTTTCACACGTACGGAGATCAAGGAGATCGCATCGTGTTTCGGGCCATTTTGGCTCGAGAGGGAGTCCACTGTGCCACACGGCAGCAGTACGGCTGCGGCTCGAAGGCTTTTGGGGGCCACTGACTTCACCAGGCGGGTAACTGCGGTTCGTTTGCTACTAGCAACAAGGAAGCATACTAGTAGCTTGTTCCTAGTAGCGATGCACTTGTCACTAGTAGCTTGTTACTAGTAATGCACTTAGTAGCTTAACTTCTTTCTCTTCTTCCGATGTCCACTTGCGACATGAACGAGGGTCGCGGGGTGAGGGTCGCGGGAGTGCACTCCATTCTCGGAGACCTTGGGGCTGCCAAGCGCGGAGGAAGGCGACAGCTGCCAGAGGAAAGCAGCACTACGCAGCTTGTAGGAGGAAGGCGACAGCTCCACAAGGAGAGTCCTCCACTTCGGGAGGGAGTCTTGTTGTCATCTGTGTGGATGGTGATCTTCCAAACCAGTGGGTGAAACCAAGATGCCGGAATTTGTTGGATCTGTTTGGAGAATTTGGGTTGGGCCTGGCACCTCGGAATTCCTGCTTGGCTGCAGCGACTGCTGGGTCCCTCCGCGGAGGCTCATGTCGGGCCGACCCTTGCGAAGGAGGCGTTCGGTTGGACGTGTGGCAGGTCTAGAGCTGCAGTGCAAATAGACACCTCTCCTCTTTAATAAGGCTTTCTGATGCCCCTAAATATATTGTTTGCAATATGTCGATATGCTTATTTTCACCGGGTTCAGGCAAGTGGGGATGATCATGTTTATATCGCCAATCTCCAAAGAACGCACTCAAGCATGGACCGTTGCCTCGTGAGGTTCTGTTGACACTGATTCACTGATGCAAGAAGACATGAGCTCCGACCAACCTCTTTGAGATGCTCACTTTGAGATCTCGTCCTGTTTCGCCATGCATCGAACGCAGGCTTTGGCCCCTGGTTTCGCCCCTGCTGCTTTGCTGTCTCTCGCAGGCCAAACCCTCGAACCGGTCGGCCGGGCGAAGATCGTCGTGTTTTCAGGACGAAGGTGGATGAGGGACCCGCGTAAGTGGACCCTGCCAGTAACAGGACTTTGTTTGACAGTTCAAGCGATGTTTGAGCCAGATCATTTTGGACCACCCTGTTTTCGGCGTCGGACGCAGCTTTCCGTTTCGGGGCGATGCTTCAACCCGCGGATTCTGCGGCGTTCTCCTCAATCGCCAGGACATGCCAGGACACTCATGGCCTCCAACCTAAGAGTGATGGCCTGCAACCTAGTAGTGATGGCCTCCAACCTAAGAGTGATGGCCTCCAGCCTAAGAGTGATGGCCTCCAACCTAACAGTGATGGCCTCCAACCTATAGGCCTCTACCCTACTGGCGATGGCCTTCAACCTACTAGCAGACTAGCAATCCCAGGACCTGTTTGGGACTGGCATATTTAAAATATTTACCGATCGGTCTACTGGTCTACTGACGCATCAGGGGCGTGGGTCACTTCCACTGCGTGGCAGGTCGCTGGACCCAGTTTCATTGCCCGGACACCCGGTGGCGAACGCACGCCTCGTGTGGAGTCGTTGGAGTCGTGTGGCGAAGAACGAGAGCTTGCCACATCTAGTCGATGGGAAATGCATGTCCTGGGACTCCAACTACCTCTGTTTCGAAGATGGTTGGGGTGGGTGCCAGAAGGGTCGAATACCACCGAACCTGAGGATATGGGACAGGAGCCCTAGGGATGAAGTACCATGCCCTTATCTTCTCACTCCGCCCTTCTTCTCACTACGTGATGCAGAATGCAATCCTGGCAACGCCTCTGCCACATGTCCGGCGCCGGATCCGAAGCGGGATCCACCCCCCGGTGCCATGCCGAAGCGACTCACCCCTCCGAGGGGCTGCCCAGCCGTGTGAGCGCCCGGGAGGGCCTGGCGAGGCGCGGCGGCGGCGGCTTCGATCTGAAAGAGACCACAGTGGGTGGAAGGGGGTGTGGGTGGGCTCACCCCACCCTGATTCAATGGTTCCCTATTGAAAAAAAGCATGAGAAACCTAAGAGAAGTACCAGTCGGTGGAGAAGAGAAGGGACGGGACTTGATGATAGATGATGATACCTTCGTGAGAAGAGTCTTGTTTGAATATGTCCGTGAGAAGAATCTATTCGACAGGGCAACAACTACAATCCTCTAGAAAAGAGGCGACGAGCCAGGTCGGACATGTGCTGCTTGGGATATTCCACCCTGGTCGTGCAATGCAAGCAAGCTGAGGTTCAGGCAATGGCATATATGCAGGCTGACATGAAACACAAGCAGATCAATGAGGCAACAAGGACCATATACAGACCTCATATATGAGCGGTTTCAGAGACCCCTGCCCTCTCATATGCAATATTGGTAAGATAGGAAACACGCGCAATGCGACATGTGTTTGATGGACCTTCAAGAACATGTCAAAACCACCTGGGACCTTTTTTGGTACCCATTGACTCTGAAACCAGACTCTATCACGTCGGACACATGTGGAAAGGGCAGCCCCCAGAGTCCACTGTCCACCGGTCCAAACCCCCCTCGCCGGACCTGCCAAGCCATCGGACCAGCCATGCAATCGCCTATCTTCATGATGAAGATCTTGATGAGTGATCTGGTCCTAAGAGTTGTGTGGCCTAAGGGTTATCTGGTCCCAAAGAGTGAGTGATCTGTTCCTAAGAGTGTCGGTGACTCCGTCGTGTTGGGAAAGGGTGGCTGAGTTGCGCCTCCAATCGAATCAGGCCTCCTTGGTGGCCTCCATTCGCTTGGCTTCGATCTGAACAACCTGGGGCTGAAATCCAAATGGCAATTTTTGAACAGACAGATATACAGATATGTCGAGTTTGCCCTATTACCTGTAACAGTCAGTAAACAGTTATCATCATTTTTGAACAAGGTCTTTAATAACAATCATCATCCACTGTTACTGGTAATAGGATAGATTCATAGGCCCAACAGATATGAACATGGTCAAAAGAAGAACCAATATATGTTACATGTGTCACTGAGCCTTTTTTTCGTCCTTGAGTCTTCTTCGTCCTTTTATGGTTCTGTCACTCAAAACTCTAGAAGAGCGGACTCCCAATGCACCCATCCAACATTCTTGAGGCATGGCAACTAGAGGCTGTTGCACAGGGACCGGTTCTCTAGATTCGATGGTCGTGTAGTTCTCTACCTTTTCAACGGGTTCACTTTCAATCTAGGGGAAACATGGTCACTGCGCGCAGGCATGCTGCGGAGAAGGCCTGGGGGGCCAAACGAGGAAACCAAGTGAACCTTCGATTCAGATGCAGGTGCATTCTGAGCTTCACCCAGACCATCCGGACTGGTAGTCAGATGCAGTCGACCATTGACCCCCCTTCTGGCACCACCCCCTGGCCGTTTCTCGGTAGTCCTATGTCAGCCGGATGGTCGAACGGCGAGTCGGATGTGCTCCCACCCCCCAGTGAGTCGAATGGCGCAAAGCGACACGGTCGTGCGAAGCGAAGCGGACCGCCCCGCTCGTGGCAGCGGTCAACGGTCCCACGGCGAGGCGTATGGTTTAAACGCCGTTTGCATCGCAGACATTCTGAAAAGGCATGCAAATCTTATAGGAAGGTTCCTAGTTCCTAGTTCATTGCCAGGTCAGTTGGCTTTGCTTGGGGAGAAGTAGCATTATTTGATGAAGAATCAAAGGTGCAGAGTTCATCAGAGTCCCCCCTTTGGCGCGGCTATTTGTATGGTCAGAGTTACCCCCAGAAAGGATCAACGATTGTGAGATTCACAGGACTGCAGGAAGTCTATGAGTCTGTGAGTTTGACAAATGAGATGGGACTTGATGTAAATCAGATGGGGTTTGATGGAGCAGAACTGGGTGTGGCTCGAGAACACATCGAATCATCCCCAACAAGGACCAGGAAGACCATCTTTCGTTCACGTTCGGGATTCACAAGTGATGGAAATTTTGGTGCGAACCATGATTGTGGTAACAAATCGCATTGCCTTCTGGCAACAAACAGGACACGTCTCGAGTAAGCGATTGATCCGCCGGAATCACATTCCTGACTGGCTGGTCCTCACAAATCCAGCGAAATCACCTAATGTTAACCTAGGATTAAGTACTATTAGTCAAGCCCAGCTCGGAGGGGGGGTTATTAATCCTACGTCCTACGTCGACCTTAATCAGAGATCGGAATTCCCCGGGGGGGCGCTTCTTTGCGGTGCGGGACAGCGCATTCACCGACGGACCCCGGTGTTTTCCGCCGGAGGTTCGACGCGAGGTTCGCCGCGCGTGAACCGCCGCACAGACTCGTCTCGTTCGGATGGGAACTGCCATGATCCCGGGAGTGTCCTCAATTTGCTTGAAACGTTCGGCCTAAACCTGACACTTGTTTGGAACGCATAGAGGTCGGTGTACACTTTGTTAGTTTGTTGGTCTCTGGGCGTGTCTTGGAGAGGTTTTGGTGCTTTGTTTGGGTGTGTATGTTAATAGGGAGACCCAACCAATGGTGAGACTGGTCTAGTTCCCTTCTTCCAGGCAGTCGAACTGGGAGGTCTCCCTATTCTACTCACCCGTTTGCACAAGTCAAGTGATATAGATACTGATGTAGGAACCCTCTCATACCTGACAATTTTCAGGAGCTGTCTCCTGAGACTCTGAGCTGTATCTGCTGTCTCCTCGAATCATGATGGAATGAACAAGGGCAGCACTGAAGGGCAACACTCATGTCATGCGACAAACCAACCAGAACTGTCGTGAACGTGCGCCGAAATTCTCAGTTCGCGACCCCATATCTGCTGTGTTGGAGGTGTTTTTGCCCTAGTGTCTTGTTTGCTTTGCAATCAGTGGATCTCGCTTGCTTTCACTTTCCATTTCAAGGGGGTTTTGGAACTACAATAAGAGAGGTGTCGTTGTGTGGTTTTCGCTGCATCCCAGGGTTTTGGAGCTGCCAAGGCGAGGGAGCGCCTGTTGGGTCGACTCGGCTCGCGGACGCCGGTCGAGGGTTTCACAAGCGAGAAGCGACCCTCCGAGTCTGCAGAGTCCACTGGCAAAACCCATGAGCCACCCGTGCTGGCGCACGACGGGGTGTCACCAGCACGGGACATTTCATGCGGTGTCCTGAGGGTGACGATTTCCCTGAAATCATCGGGTCGCCCAACCACCACCTGTCGTGATCTTTGATCATGGTCGACATCGGGGCGAGGCCATCCACGTAACTCTTATGAGTTCAGGGAGTTGATCAAGTTGACCTCTAGGAGCTCCTAACCTACTAGCGATGGCCTCCAACCTACTAGTATTTAGTGTATCGTCCGTTGGTGCCTATTTTTGATGGTTCCTGGCCCGAAGGCTTCTTCTTGCGAAGCGTAGGAACAGGTTCTCAGCATGGAACGTTTTCTTTCCTCGCTTGTAGAGGGAATCCGTATTTCAGGCGTTTCTTGGATGGGCGTTGAGCAAAACGAGCGAAACCTCTTTCAACCCTCGACCCTGGGATCCTCCAAATCACTGGTCCACATGACCGAAGTAGACAGCGCGGGAAATTGGAAGCATTCTTGAAGCCCTTGCCCTAGAGAAGAAAGCACCAAAGGATTGAAGAAGATTCAGATGGATTCAGGAGAACAGAGTCACCGGGCTGGTGACAATCAGACTTTGAAAGTCTTCGGGCACCAATTCTGCTGAGAGCTCACAAAGACCTTGAGAAGGAACAGGAGAAAAGGACCAGAGACGGTTCATGAGTTGGAGCTGCAAAAAGCGGAAACGCCTTTTTTCCCTAGACTCCTTGTTGATTCCCTACCCCTGGTGGTTTCACCACAGCCTACCCCTGCGTCCTTCTTCAATCGACTTTGGAAGGATTCCCTTGAAAACGGGCTACTCACCCACCTCACCCACCATCCATTCCAGGTATCACAAGGGGTGAACAAGTGTAAGACTTCCTGCAGGAAGATGGCAAGAAGAAGAAGAGCAAGGGCGGTGAGGAACAGACCAAGGCACGCGTGAACCGCTCACGCACCTCGCGGGCCTTGCGTATGGCGCACTAATCAGCTGGCAGTACAAGCAGGGTGGCGGGGTTCGGAGCAGTGGACAAGGCTAGATGACATGAATTGTGAACCATGGTAATTGATGTTGTTCAAGCCATGGATTTGGGAGTTCTCAACCGCAGCCATCTCCATTCCTGGAAGCCAGAACTTGAAAAGCCCTGAAGCCAACGTAGAAAGCATGTTGAAACCATCTTGAACCTTCCTCAGAACATGGTCAAATGAGTCCAATGTCCTGTGCCACACTGGGCAAATGGCCATGTTCGCCGGCTTCACACGCCACGCGTGGTCGCGTTTTTGTTTTTTTTCGCCTTGTTGCAGGAGGGTGAGACCAGCATTGTCAAGGCACCGGTGGGGGGGGGTCAGTCAAATACCTCCAGTCGAGATGCGCGGTCGCGTGATTTGATCGACGCGGCGAAAAACTGGATATGGACGCCTGGAAGGCATACCACCGAGTGGCGATGGCCTCCAACCTAATAGCAAAACTGGATTATGGATGCTCGAAATGTGCCATGCAAAAGTCTGCGTGGGACATTTCTTGTTCTGGCAATGGGTTTTCGTATGTTTTCGTTAAAATCCCCTCCAACTCGCATGATGGCTTAGGACTGGGATGGATTTGCGTTTGGTTTCTTCTCTTGAGACCGTTTTGGTTCAAACGATCCACGTCCGACACTGCCGTCACCGGTTCGACGGAGTGGAGCCCAGACCGTTCTGGTCGTAACTTCGCGCCCCGGTGGCGGATGGTCTGAGGTGACGGGGTACTGGCCACCCCTAAGGAGTTCCGGACTGGCCGTCCCGAGGGTTTTGTTGGATTCAAGCAGCCAGGTGGAACGGTGTTTTTATTACTTTTGTTGAAGATACACAGATGTTGGTCAGAAAAGAGGTTCCTTTTCTCCAAAGGATGTGCAGTGATCTCTGATGAACGGTTCAGACGCCCTTCCGGCACCTTCTTCAGGAGTTTGTTCTGAAGACATGCGGATCAAAGTTTGTCAACGAATGACCCTCTCAGGTGTCACTCGCACCTGTCCACCGGTGTGGACCATATTCTCGTCAAAACACGGGACAACCAGACTTAGCACCAAAGTCACGGTGGTGGCAGCCTTGTGGGAGAGGAAGTGTCACTTGCTGCAGAGGTTGTGAAGGGAAGTAGTCTTATGCTATGAATTACAGTCGTTTCAGAGTAGATAGCACAGACCTCAAGATGTCCTTTACATGGAGGTTCATATACAACCACCGACATTGGGGGTCTGTGCCATCTACTCTCAATCCACTATATGCATCTCCAGCTTCCATGTTGCTGACCTCTGCAGTCTATGTGACCTTTGCAGCCAGGAATCAACCGGTCGTGACCTTCATGACCGGGCCGGTCGGGGGCGGGGGGGCTTTTCCCACCAAGCAACAGGTGCAAGAATCATTGCTTTCATCAGTCTTTATGAAGGTCACAAGGGTGAAAGTTGGCTCTTCCGAAACGGACATCTGACATCACTTGGCATTCAAAGCAAGAAGATGTGGCCATCTTTCGCTCGTGGCCAGGACAAGAAGTCCTCCAAAAGCAAAGCTTTGAGGCGTCGCGGCACGCGCTGCATCCAGGATGTCATAGTCAGACAAGTGTTTCTCTTTCATTGGATCTAGCGACCACTTGGGAGGAAGATACGAAGGAAGAAGTCGTGACACCAAAAGCCCTCAGAGATACACCAGGAAAGGAGGGAAGCCGTTTTGGATTCCTGTGAAACAGTGCTATTGCATAGGTGTGTAGAATTTTGCCAAGAAGAGTGGCATCATCATGTCCGTAGTCCATGGCCTCTTCTGTTTGCATTTGCTGGGAGATGATATCCTTTTCCCTAGCATTTGGATGATATCGTTTTCCCTACCAAAAGCATATAGGACCCTATAGATGCAAACTCTTAACCAACAGATGTTGAACGACCATATATATATAATATACCATATAGTTGATCCATTCTTCATCATCCCCCCGTATACCCTCGTGTACCCCTACCGTTAAGTCTCATGAATGTGGGACTTCAGCTCCCCCGACTCCTCGCCCCGACTGCCACTCCTTCCTCGCAGTAAGCAGCGCTTGAGCGATCTGCGCGACAAGACCCTGGCGGTGCGACAAAAGCGAGAGGAGAGACTGGCGTCGTGACATTCGACCGCGTGGCGTCGTCCGACCGCGTGCACCACGCGTGAGAAGAACGAGAGAAGGACATCGGATCGATGGGGAGTGGAGACCGTGTCGCAGTCGGATGGGCTTTGTGGCGCAGTCCTGGACTTCTCAGGCGATGTGTCCCATCCCGTCTGAACCGGGACATAACATCACCGTTTGAATTTCCACGATGAAATGGGTGGCCGAGGCCAGTAGAAACCTGCCCAACCTCACCCGTGAATGTTTAACGATGATGAAATAAGCATTTTCAGCCGTGCATGCCAAGCTTTTGGGGTGTAATTCGCAGTGTTAGTAGGAGCACCTGTGTGTTTTTTTTTTTTTCTAAGTCCTCCTTGACTGTGGTCACTGCATTTTTTGTGGATAGGTTTTAGAAGCATTTGGTATTGACCCATAGCCCATAGCCATTCTGGGTGGTGACCTCTGAGAGAGGTTGCGGATGAACCCAAAAAATCCCAATCCAAATTTGTGGATTGCCTACCCTTCAGTTTTTGTATCTTGCTGGCATGTTCCGTGAATGAATGAAAGCGCTTCGCAGGAAGAGCTGGATGAATATGAGATGGGGAAAGCCATGATCGCCAAGTGAGCTGGGACTAGGGGGCATCGTGTTCTTGTGTTTGCCAGGCTCAGATTTTTCTTTTTATGGGGGGTGAGGGCATCCTACTGAAAACCAAGAAGTGGAAACAGGCTAAGCTACCTGAAGCTTCCTTCGCTACACAAAAAGAACGCTCGTTTCACAAAAGTGCTCGTTCAAACAAAAAGCACTACAAACACACAAAAAACACACATGGATCCCTCATAGCCTCATATCCAACCCATTCAATTTAGGGTTCGCCACTGTTCAATTTGCGCGCGTGCTGCGGCAATTTGCGAGCATTTGACGGGTTTCCGCCTTTAGCACAAGAAGACTTCAGTGTTCAACATCTTGAAAACATGCTCGTTTCATCAAAAACATTAAAAAGTGCTCATTTCAGCAAAAAGAACGCTACAAAACTTCAACAAGTGCTCATTTCCTTGGTAATTCGCCAGAAAACAAGTGCTACGACTAAGTGTTCAGGTATTTTTGGGGACGCTGCAATCCCACACAAGCAGTCACGGGTGGGGATGATACAACGTCTCGACCTTTGGTTGGAACATTGATCTTGGCAAGTACGCTACTGACTTGACTCAGGACTCTTGGCAAAAGAGTGTCGGACTGCGTCTAAATGTCCATGTGTGTCCCCAATCCAAAAGGCATGACAGAATAGCCTGAAAAGCTCGTATGACTACTTAATTACGATAGATGCTAAGATACAAAATGCATCGAAATACTCTTCTTTTAACTGCCTAAATGGTCCTCTTTGGCAGACCACTTACCCAACCACAGACCTGGCTGCGTCTATTCTGGGCAGGTACGGCCGCGAGGTGTCTGTGATGCCTCCCAACGTGGCGGAGCGTGTGGCCAAGCGAGGCCACCCTCGGCCCTTTGAACGCCGGACGTGCGGCATGGACAGACCCCTTGACCTCATGACCTCATCGTGCGGCCAGTTACCACAACGACAAGCATTTCTCGTGCAAGACTGTCTCTTATGGTTTCAGGTGCGAGAATGACTCTCAACATGATCCCCTAGTTCAAACTAACACTGAATGGAGGGCAACCTTCAAACATATTAGATATAGATATATTAGACAATGCCTCTTGTCATGGACTGGCTTGTTTACCAAAGAATGAGTTCATCATCAGGTGTTCCATGTGTTTTTCTAAGGTGATTCATAAGCGTCAACAATCACGGCTTGTGTGCAATGAGGATACCACCAGCAACTCCACCAGCAAGTGTGTAGACGAAATGTCGATGGCATGAAACCGATACATGGAAACTGCCTCCACTAGAGCAGGGGCATTGGCTATCTTTCTCAGCACAATTCGGAAAGTCTCTCTAAACTCTCAAACTCTCAAAAGAAAGAAACACTGGACTCGAGCTAGAATGCTGGGTGCGCCTAAGAGATCTTAACCCTATCACCCATTACACTCCATGAAACTGCCAGGACGGACTGTCTGGGCCCCCCCCTTTTTCCACCACCCCTGGCCCGCCCGTTTCTCGGCACTATGGCAGTCCCATGGAGGTCTATGGCTAAGAGAATGGGGGTCCAAGCAGAGCATCGTCGGGTCACCACCGACGCCTCGGTCTCCAATCGGTGTTCGCCGCCGGGGAGGTCGCGAGCGAAGGGGTGCGCCTGGTACGGCCTCGCGAGCCGTGCGCCGAAAGTGAGGTCAGCCATCCCTACCCCAAGCTCCTGTCCACTGGAGAAAGTGTTGTTTTTTGTTTAAACTGGACAGCATGTAATTCTCCACTTCTCCACTTTGCGATGTTGCTTTCAGTGTTTTGTGCCCCGAAAGTGACTTAGGTTGTGTTGAACAGAGAAAAGGACACCGCAAGTTCCTATCTCCTGCTATCTTCTACCAGCCTGAGATTTACAGGAAAACGGACACACATCAGGGTCCCTGCAAACCTGCAGGCATGGTCATCGGTGGCTCTTTTTATGCCACCATGCTGGCTGTCTTCGCCTTCGGCATTGCGCTCTTCAAGACCCAGGACACTGAGTCACAACCCTGGTTGGGCCAGTGGGGTGGTTGGGCTGGTTCTGTTCGGCGGTTCCTATGAACCCAAGACACTCTGGCCCCCCTGGGTGTGTTATTTGTTTTAAGGGAGAACAACTGCTTGGCCGCTGGGAGAACGACCGGTTGGCCTCGTTGACCGTCCGAGTCTTTTGAGGGAGACCCCGACTTTTTCAGATCAGGCATCCAGGCAACCCACGAGATGCTGGGAGTCCCGTCGTGGTTCCAGGCAACGACGAAAGCCATAGACTCCACAGACCTAGTTCGAATCCCTTGTTCCTAGTTCTAACCCCTGGTTCGTTCCAGGCAACGACTAAGACCACAGACCTAGTTCGAATCCCTGGTTCGTGTTTTTTTGGATCCACTGGGATGCACTGGATGTATGAGACCCCGTCTGACCGTCTCGACGTTCGCCCAACGTTCGCCTGCAGGGACGTTCAGGGCGGATCACCTTGGGATGGTTGGTCACGTACTGAAACAGCTCAAGTGGCATGGAGAGGGCCCTCCTTAGGATCTTCTAAAGAAACACATGGACATAGAAAGAGTTCCCTGGCACCACTTGATCAGCAAAGTGATGCAAAGTTTCAAGTTTCAATCCAGTTACACCTCCGTGCGTTCAATGCGTCTCCTCCTCCCATATTCGGAACCCACGTGGATGACTAGCGCGGCAGAAGAGATCCGACGAAGCCGAGCATGACCGGTGGATCGGGGAAGCAAGCACAACTCAACGTCAATGACCACCATGCCAACCTACTAGCGATTGGCCTCTAACCTACTAGTGGCTCAAGTAGTGAGTAGTGCTAGCAGTGTCCTTTCCGGAACCATTGGTGTTGGAATCGTTGAGTGCACAGCACCAGTCGGATCGATGTGGCGCTTCGCCAAAGGCACAGCCTTCTCAGACCTTCTTTCCGAACGCCCGCCTGGTAGGGATCCACTTAGGAATGGTGGGACTGAGTTTACCTTCATCAGAGGGTCGGAGGGTAGATCTATACATCACTATATAGACATCCTTAGCCGCCAGCATGGTTTTCTCAATGGTCTTCCCATTTCGTTCCGCAAGTAGTAGTAGCAGCTACTGTTGTGGTGCCCAGGAGATTGTAATTCCTCCCACTTTGATGGCCTTTGTGACTTTGGCACTTTTGGCTTTGGCCATCTTTGGTCCGGACACTCAATGCCGACCTCGTGCGCATGGTTCGGGCGAAACCAATCTCCTCAAATTCCCGTCGTCGGCTGGAGTGGAAGCACTGGCTGGAACATCTGAATTTGGCTGGGAACCAGTGTTTCTCATTCTTGCAGGAACAAGAAGCTACTAGTCCGGAGCGTTCGGACGCGAACCGAACGTGGCGCTCCTGGCCTAAAGCTGGAAGAAGGGGACGCTGCGAACGGAACATTTTTTGCAGGAATATCAGTTGATATCACCCAGACACTCCATGGGACTGCCATATATATGCCTACATTGGGGTGGTTTGAGGGGTCAATGGGGCGGCATATATGGCAGTCCCATGGGTCGTGTCTGGGTCAGTTGTTTTTCGTGTATGTTTTCTCGACCATTGCACCCCAAAGCAGCGCTGCCAACCTTTGGGGAACGCTGTACACCGACACCTCCCGTCCCTAACAGGGATTTGAGTCGTACCTGTCCCTAGGGCCCTAGGGTGCGGTGAGGAAGGAGATAGCAGCTGTTATGATACAACGTGATGATCGGGCGTGTTTGGATGATGTGTCGTCCGATCGCCCCGCGAATTCAGGGGGGTCCTATGGTATGATGTCCGCCAGCTGGGATCCTGACAAAGAGGGCAGTGCCCTGGGCGCTGAGGAGCCGTGTTTTGGGGCTCCGAGCAGTTGGAGGTGAGGTGTAAGATTGTTGGAGGTCATGGCCAACAAAGAACAGGGCTATGTTGTTCAACAATGTTTCAACCATGTTCAACATGTTTTGTGTTCTACATCTTGCGCCTATTCACTCATGATTTGAGAGGAGTTGAGGTGCCTACATGTTGGTCGGATTGTGTTCAAGCCTCACAGAAAATTGTTCCTCAAGCTTGTCCAGAATAAACAGCTAGCCACTATTCCAGAGTTGCCTCAGAGTGTGGACTGAGCCAAGCTGAGCGCTCGATTGTTTGACTCAGTAGCTTCTCAGATTCCAAAGTTTCCCTATTTTCCCCCGAAAGAACACCTACAGATATCTGCTCATCCTTCCCATTTTTTCACAGGCAAACCCTTTGGATCTGGCCATGAGACAGACTTCCTTTCTTGAGTGAGTCGACAGTGTCAATCGAAGCAGTTCTAAGATTCCCTCAGATTCCTCGTAAAAACCATGTAGGACTACTGTAGGACCCATTTTTCGTGGGTCACATCGAGTGATCTTCGACCACACGCACATGCGTGACCGTGCGCGGTCACGTACGGATGTGGTCTATTCCCCGAATAGAGGGCCTCCGGGTACAGTTCAATGTCGGTGCAAACCCCTTGAGGCGTGTTTTGGTTGAAAGACCATCCAAATCCTGCCGGTTCTGGGGCACCTGGCAACGCTTCGTCACTGCCGCGGATGGGCTTCGTCATGAGTTCGCGGGGTCACGGCGTGATGGCAGGAGTTCGGTGACAACATGAAGATCCTGGGCGAAGGCTTTCGAAGAGCGACGCTGCAAACCGAATACGAGAAGGCGCCAAGACCATGCCGGCAGAGGGCCGTGCGCGGCAGATCGAGGGGCGTGCGTTTGAGGGGGATGGAGGAGGAAAGATGAAGAACTGCTGGGTGAAAAAACACATATCTATGTAATATTAGATATATTATTAATATATATATATATATTCGATGAAACATGATGAAATACAATCCATCCCTGGCCCACAAGTGGAGGCGCGGACACTGGTGGTGTTGTTTTTCACTCTCCTACACAACAGCCTGGCCAACAGCCGAGCCGCGCCGGTCCTGATCCACTGAGTTGTGCGGCCAACCCATTAGTGACAGGATTTGCGGCCAACCCATTAGTTTCTTTGTTTTCATATTATTTGATGTTATATATGTGTGTTGAATTGTGTTCTTATGGAATACTGTACCCCGGAAAGCTGTCGATATTGGTTGAAAAAGTGTTCGAATCGATCTTCTTAGCTCAAAATGAGGATCTCCACATGGAGCTAGTGAGCGCGATGTGAAGGAGATTGAGGTATGATGGTGTTGATGAAGTATGAAAAATATAACAAAAGGCCGGTCCTATCTCCTTATACTATATAAAAGTAGATATATATAACTAGAACTTCCAATTAAATGTATTTCCATCATGATGTTGTGCCGTGGCATGATGCAATTTCAGGGACTCAAACTCCCCTGAAGAAGGGATTCCTGATGTTGGCAGCCCAGGCAGCCCAAATAGCTGCCCAAATCGCAAAGTGCATCCCCTCCAAATATTTGCAAACACATGTTGGACATGAGGTTTCCATCTATGCGAGAGTTCTTGTGCACCTAAGTTTCCTCATCATTTCAGTGTTGTTCCTTTGCCCGTTCAGAAGCTTCGGCCGCAGCGTTCCCAAACCAAAGAGCCCCAGGAAAAGCAATCGCGGAACCGCGCCGCCGAACGTGAAGAGAAATTTGTTTAAAGGACATGTGTTAAAAGACCGCTCTGCCCCCCCCCTACCGCTCTGCCGCGATGGCCTCCAACCTAAGAACCGCACCGGAAACCAGGCCCTGGACATGCGGAACGAGCGCCGCAAGTTGCTGGAGGCCGCCAGTTGCCGGACGGTTCGTTTCTAAGAAACGGTGCAGCCAGGGAGTGGGTGCGATCATCGGTGTTGGGATGGTTGTTGTTGTTGAGGCAGGGGGGGGGTCAGAAGCTTCTTGCAATTGGCCGGAGCTCCTCAAATTGGATGAAGCCAAGAAGCCCTAAAGTCAGCCCCCTTAGTCCTGAAAAGCACTTCACTTTGCCCAGCTTGGAAGGCAAAAGAAAAGAAGAAGCAGGAGTTGCTCAACAAGTGAGGCTTTGAACGACGAAGTTGCTCATGTCTTCATCTCGGAAGGATCAGCTCCTTCTGGTGTGAGGTTTTGTGCGGGACTTTCATGGCCCATGCGCATGGTTCCCTGTGCAAAGCTCGTTTCGGGCATTGACACCCATCAAAGCCCAGGCAAAACAGACTAAGTCAGCTTGCGATTCTGCTTGTCTCGTCAGCCTGACTGTGCTTCGCAAACGACCGGGCCATAGAGTGGGCCCGAACAAACCGTCCGTTGGGAAGGTAGAACACATGAAGACCGAGGTGTCGGTCCATTCGTTCGGATTGTACCAGGCCCATGTGAAAACGCGATGAGTTCGTATCTGAAACCAGGGAAACCAGGTACAGATACTGGAAGTATTGGTATGGTATCCATGTACCAGGTGCGAAATGGATAGCGGCGGACTTTTGACACATGCCTAAGGGGGTCCCTTGAGCTGTCACGTTGAATGGACGGAAATGGAATTTGCACTCGTCCATGTAAATAAAATTTCACCTTGTCTCTATTGACCCTTTTGGTCCTGAGACTGACAGCTTGGAATGCCATGAAGATATATTCTTCACATCAACACAAAACCACCAAAAGAAGCAACCACCAACCGCAGAAAAACAACCAATGTGTGTTGTGTGCGCTAAGTGCTTCTCTCCTGTCCTTGAAGACTTGGTAGACCTTTCTTGCGTCTCTGTTTCTCCGATGTGTAGTTCTCATCAAAAATGATCTTGAATCTGAAGCCGAGTTGAAGAAACTGAAACATCTGATACTTTTCTGTGACTTTTGTCAAAGAATTTGCTAGCATTGCTCCCCCGTGCACCCAATGTATTGGTGTGTTCGTTGCTTCGAGCTGTAGTCTAAGTGCCACTGCTTCAATGTCACTCCTCTTCTCAGCTCCTTTGATGCAAACTGTCGGGCGATGTAGTTTGTCAAACAAGTTCTTTGAATCTGTCACCATGGCTGCTGCCACCTGTCTTGCGGCCACATCTGGATTGCGAGGATCTAGCTCACCGCCAATCATTTCAAACCAAAGCACTCTCAGGTAAAGTAAATCATCTTCACCATCTAAGCTTGCTTGAGTCTCTGCTGCTGCCGGTGATCTACAAACTCTTGGTATCTTTGAGGATCTCCAGTGTATTGCTGAAACATCTGTCTCCTTGCCTTGTAACAGTTGTTCACTGGTCATTCCAACAAAAACACCTTCTGTCGAATCACTCCCGTTGGGTCTGTTGGCGAATGCTGCATCGGACCAACATACCAAATGAAGTCTGTCTGTTTCCCTGAAGGGGTGTATGATGTACTCCTGGTCCTTCCACTTCTTCATCTGTCTGACCAGTGCGTTTGTTTTGTTAATGTCATTCACTGTGCTCACCGGAATCTGTGAAATCAAAAACCCAACGTCCACTGAAAACATGAAGGCTGTTTGTCCACAAATCCAACTCAAGCTACCTAAGGTTCCCCTCAACCAACTCTTCTCCTTCTCGTTGGTCGGAAGCTCATTCTGTCTAGCTCTCTCAGTGGAAATGCTAATCTCTTCAACCTCTTGTAAGAACCGGGATTGTTGTAGGGTGATTGAAAAATCTTCCTTCTGGGAAATCACAATGCCGCACTGTTCAAAATGACTGTATTCCCAAGTTCCCCATTTGTATGATTCTTGTAGTGATTGCATCAACTGGTTGTGAACAGGGTCGTCTGTCTTTCCCCCAAACATGAAGTCATCAACATGTCCGTGAATTGCTGATCTGACCAGTCCGGCTTTGTCAATGTAAATCCAACAACAAGGTTCTGTAATCAACCGGGTGTATCCCAGGGATGCCAACTTCTTGCAGATGGACTCGTACCAGTGGAGTGGTGCTTGTACTAATCCGTACGCTGCCTTCTTCAAAAGCATAGGAGTTTCTGGACTGACGCCCAGTTCGGAGCAAATCTCCTCCACCGGCCTGCACCACAAGATCTCCTCCATGTCTTCGCCTTGAAGGAAGGCACCGCTGACATCGCCCTTGGCGATGCGGAACCTTCTATGAGCACACAGTTGCAGAAAGAGTTGACGCCCTGCCTTTGAGGGCGTTGGTGAAGATGTCTGTCTCTCACTATAACAGGGGTCTTGATATCCCAGAACTATGGCCCTTGCTTTGGCCTTTCGGCCGTCCGGATATTTGGGGTCATACTTCCAGGTGAGCAACCATCGCATGCCCAAAATATTTTTCTCCTCGGGAAATTGATCTTCTGCAAGCTGAAAACACCTTGATGCCAAAAAGTTCTTAACTTCGGTATGTTTCGCTTTTGCAAACTCTTCAGCTTCTTGTGGACTCAGTTTGCGTTCCGACACCTCCACCATCTTTCTCTTCAGCTGATTGGCCATATAGGCCTCCGGATTCGCTGAAAACTTCTTCCAACCTCTGTTGCTTGTGGGGAGTTGAAGTTCTATCTCAACTGCGTGACAATGTTCTTCCACACTGTAAAATGCTGCATAGTCCACCCTGGGCCTACTGCTGCTGCTGCTTCCGGATTCCGGCTCAGCCTCTGCTGCTTCTCTCTTTTCTCCTCTCTTTTCTGGAAGTCTTGCTGCCTTTGCAACGGGCTCGTTGCTTGGCAATGGTCCTTTTTCCAGAACACGTCTCAGAGGTGCTCCTTGTTCCTGTCTGCTTCGAGCAATGGGCTCATCCAAGGCTTTCTCCCAAGCGACATCATCCGGAATTTCTTTGGAAATATCTTGGTATGCCCTCTGCTTGGGATCCACTGTCATGTGAGACAATGTCCACGGAATCTCCACGGCCCCTTCTAGCTCCTCCAACATAATCTCAGCCTCTGATGCTTTGCGTACCTGTTCCGGCGCGGCTCGCAGCAACCTACCTCCTTTGTAGAGCCAAATCACGCTTCCTGGTCGCAATTGCCCATCCTCTCTCCTTGTCTCTGTTGCTAGAACTCTTGCTGGTCCCAGAAAACGTCCAGTTTGGAAGGGTTGTCGATCCGAATGTGGCACCTGCATGCGAAAATAGTACACTAAATCTCCGGGCAAAAACACCTGGTGTCGTCTGTGTCCCATTCTCTCAGCACGCTCTAGTCTTCTTTTTGCCTGCTCATCGAGAAATGCTTTTTCTGCACAATGCCGAATTTGATCGTCTTCCTGAAACCCCCCATCTGCCATCAACTCTGGATGAATTGGCTGCACTCGGTCATCATCGAACATTCTTCCGCAAGCGTCTGGCGCCTTTCCCAAAACATGTTGTAGTGGGCTGTATCCTCTGTAAAGGGTTCGGTTGTTCATTGCCCAGACTGCTCTACTCATCAGATCCCTCACGGAACCCTCTGGAAACTCTTCCCCAAGCGTGTTCAGCATGCCCTTGATTGTTTTGATATGTTGTTCCACTGCACTGAGCTGCCAATGTGCCTCTCCGGGAATCATCTCCAAAAGTATGTTTTGTTCAGAACAATAGGTATCCACCTCCTTGTTCAACCACGCCCCTGCGGGATCTACACGCAATGTCTTTGGTCGTCCAAACAAGGGAAACCAATGCTCCTCCAAACACTGTCGCAGATCTGCCCAAGTAGCTGTTTTGTGGGGATGTTCATGCAACACCTTGCTAACGGTCAGTTTGCTTCCCCTGTCTACCATCACTACAAAATGACACTTCTTTTTGGTCACTGGATGTTGCCATGTTCCAGCGTCCACCTCCAAAGTTTCCCACTTTGCAGCCAAGGTTTCTAGAGTTGCAAACCGTCGAGGATCTTTGATCTTTCGAACTGCACATTGTGGACAAGACCATTTCCTTGCCACTTGGAGCACTTTTTCTGACACCCCCCTTCTCTCAAGCGCCCGCAAGAGCGCCTGGTGACTCCCATGTCCTGTGTTCTTGTGGATGTATTGGAGCTTCTGTTCTATCTCCAGCTGCTCGTCAGGTGGGATCTCGAGGTCCATGGGGTGGTCCTCGGAATCTGCTTCTGCTGGTTGTGCCTCCTCCAGGTTGGTGTGTGACAATTCTTGGACAATCTTAGACCAAACTTCCCCTTCACAAAAACAATCAATGACCTTCTTTGCAAAAACATCTGTGTATCGCGCTGTGTGTGCTGTTTGACCTGCTTCACAACGACCTTTTGGGTGATTCTTTTGGCATGGTAAATGAAGTCTTTGTAAAAGTATGGTATTTCTGGTTGCGACAGTCCAAGCTTTGCACAAGGGAAGTGCTCTGTCTTTCGTCTTCAAACCAACGGCGCATCCGCTAGTTGTCACCTTCTGCAGGTGGTATTGCTCCAAAAACTGCTGGATCTCTGGAAGGGCCCATGCTTCACTTCTTTGAGAAAACTCCCAATGAACCTCCAAATTGAGACAAAAAGCTTCTTGCGCTACTTCAATAGCCCCCCTGGTATTGTTTCCTAGCCCGAAACTGTTTCTCTTCAAGAGCTTCAATCTGTTGAGGGTTTCTCCTATTCAACCGCTGTAAAGGACAAAAAGGCCCGCACTCACAGCTGATCCAAACATTGATCGGACGGTGACGTCTCATCATCTTCTTGATGAGTTCCACGCCGGTTGCCTCCTCGAGGTTTCCCCCGTTCCACTCGCTCAGTCTCATACAACTGCCTGGCCCGAATCTGCGTTCCACCTCAGTGCCTAGAATGCTGTCATGAAAACATGCAACTTCCAACAAAAGGGGACGTCCGTGATGAACAATGTCTTTCCAACCCTCACTGAACATGTTCTTGCGAGGGCCCCAGTTCTGACTGAGTCTTTTGAGGGATTCCTCAGACAAGGCATGGCATTCACAATCTACATCTCTTTCCGCCCCTTCATGCGGCCGGTCTGAAGCTCCAAGTCTGCCTGAGCTGCCTCCAATTCCATGATCTTGGTGCGAAGGGCTTGATTCTCCTCCTCCAAGCTCGAGGGACGTGGCTTGGAGTTCTTGGAGGGAGGTGGTTTCCCGATCTTGCTCTCGAGCTCTGTGACCTGGAATTCGTGCCATTCGTCCAGGTCGCCCTGAGTCAAGGTCATTGGAGCCTCCTTCTTGTACCCGCCCTTGGTCATGTCGAAGGTGGGTGTCGATGAGGTGGCTCCGGATCCTCGCCGCCCGGGCTTGCCAGTCTGTTGTTCTGACCACTTGGCCAGTCGCTCCAGGCGCCAGTACGGCTTCTCCTCTTCCGCCGCGGTTGTCTGAACCCAGTTCACATATTGAGGGTGCATCTTGAGGACTTCCTGGAAGGTCAAGTCCCCGTGTTTTCCGAATCCCACCTTCTCGTTGCCCGATGGTGGAAAACTCTTGTAGATGCCCTCCTCCCCCACCTTGAACAACTGACTGATCGTCGCAGTGGGTGAGAACTTGGCTCCCTCTTTCTCCAAGAAGGCAATCAGGTCTCCCTTCTTTCGGCTGGCTCGCTTCAGATCTGACAGCTTTTCCTCCAAGCGCTTGTCGAGGCTGTGGCGACGCTCTTCTTGCACTTCGGCCCAGTGAGCTTTGATCTGAATCAGATTCCACTCGGTGGGCACTGCGATCCCCTCGTCGCGAAGCTTCTCGATCCACTGTGCCTTGGTGGTAGGAGCTGGCATGATCCTGACAGGTCAGTCCTGGAACGGTGTTTCCTGCACTTGAGTGTGAAAAAGGCTGTGCACACGTGTGTCTGTCGTTCTCTTCGTAAACTCCTTGGCATTCCTCACAAAAATCACATCTACCAAATCTTACGGATATCAACCTACAAAATCTGCATGGCAAAAATGAATTCTCATGGACATGGTCGTGTTCACACAACATGTCTGTTCCCCCATTCACGCTCCCCTGGCCGGGATTTTCTCCGTCCATTTTGCCAGAAGAGCAAAGTTCCTATTCATGAAGTGAAACGAACGGCGTCGGTCGATCCACTCCTTCGCTCAAGAGGTTGCCTGTCATGGGCATGAGAAGATGACCATTGGAAGCTTCTTCCAGCTTCACCACTCGGTGGGCATTCACCTTGGTGTAGATGACCTCTCCGGTTCGGAAATCCAGCACGGCTCCTAGGGCTTTCAAGGCTTTCCGAGAAATCAAAATCGGCTGTCCAGGTGAGTCATGTACGTGGACTTCAAGACGGCCTGTCTTGTCACCTGCACCGAGACCCAAGGTGACGGTGGACATACAATCTTTTCGAGCTCCGTTCCCGAATCGAAAGGTCGGGCGATTGTCCGGGTTCACCTCCATGCGTGTCTCTCCATGGGAGGCCACATTGGCCTTCATCACTTGTTCAAGAGCATCCACGGAAGCCAGAGACGATGTTGCCCCTGAGTCGATCACTCCATAGCATCGGTTCACTGTCTCCTCCACCATGAAGCCATCTTCTGCTTTTTTTCCCAAAGAAATTCTGTTCCTCCTTGCCCATCTCACACGCTCCAAAAGCAATCTCTGCTGCCTCTTCACTAGCCACCTTGGCTTGTTGCGCAGGCTTGGGACAGTTTGCCACCAAGTGCGGGCCTCCGCACCTGAAACAAAGCTTGGTTCCTGAACTGCTCTTGGAACTGGTTGCATCACCACCTCGAGGAAATGGTTTTGGTGGGAAGTATCCTCTTCCCAAACGAATTTGCTTCTGCTTCCAACGTGCTTCCTTCAGGGTGGCTTTTTGGTTCTGAATTGCAGCCAATGCATCCTCCACCTTGGCCTCTTCTGCCATGTAGGCCTGTCTGTCTTCTGGGCTCATGTTGTCATAGTCAGCAAGGTCCCCTTCAGCGACTAATGCTTGTAGCTCGGAGTCTCCCTCTTCTTCGGCCCACATAGCTGCTGCTCCCGACTTGAGTCGATCTCGCTTCTGGAGGTCGTCATCCCCCCATTGCTCACGAAGAGCGCGAGAAACTGTCACCACGGAGAACTCTCCCCGGATGGCGGCCATCACATTGGCTCTCTCATGGGCATCGAGTCCACTTCGATGCAACAACAAGAATCCTGCAAGGAACTCTGGAATGAAGATCTCCGACGAGGTGTCCCATGAACTCGGAGGTTCATACTCCTTGGATCGCCAGCTATCCTCCGACCATTCGGAGTGATTGTGCCACCAGCGATGCCACCCATGGTACTCATTCTCCTCCTCCTCTTCTTCGAACAAGCGTCCATCGTCCCGAAATGGCTGTGCCTGTTCCTGTTCACCACTAGTTTGGCTTCGAGTTCCCACATCACTCGAAGGCCGAGCAACACCCCACATAGTCGGTTCTGTCTTCTTCCCATGCTCTTTTTGAACCTTCCTCAATGCTTGGCTGGCCTCCCAAAGTCCTTCTTGGTGTCTTGTAATCCACGATGTCATTGTTTCCCCTCTCCGGCGTTGCATACCGTAGAAGAACTTCATCACAAACCTGGAGGCTTCTGGAAGGCTCGGTCTGGCAACCACACTCTCCAAGTAGTCGAGGAGAATGTAGACCCCCCTAGGCTTTGAGACCCACTGTGGATCCCGCAACGTCATTGGTCGGACTGCAATCTTCGCTGTCCCCTCCAGCTCTTTCAACAGTCTAGGTCCAACAACATATCTCTTCTTGTGCTCGAACGTCATGAGATACTGAACTGCCTCTTCCCTATAGGCAGCCAACAACTCTGGCGTCCCGTCGTAGCGAGGAATGCCATCTGGCGATCTCGTGATCCCTTTCTCCATGGCCCTTTGCCTCTGGGCTCAGGCCACTCCACCACTTTCCAACAAACAAAACTTCAACCCAGTCGCAAATCTTGCTAAAAACCAGGCGGCCCGGCTACCATGCGAAATGGATAGCGGCGGACTTTTGACACATGCCTAAGGGGGGTCCCTTGAGCTGTCACGTTGAATGGACGGAAATGGAATTTGCACCAGGTACATGTGGATCAAAATGGACAAGACGGGGGTATGCTCCACCGTGCCGATGCTCTTGACATGGTCTTACTCCAGTTCTTTTGAAGACGCTGGTATGGGAGAAATATGTTTGAGAAACTTGATCCACTGCTACTAGTAACAAGTGCATCGCTACTATTAACAAGGTTTGTTTATCATTCCACTGCTTGGTCTTTCCACCGCTCGGGCCTTGTTCTTTGAAGGTCGTCCCAAAACGCGCAAATCCTCGTCCGTCCGTCGCCGGCATGCAGAGTTGCACATCGCCGGCGGTCCCGTTGGTCTCACTGGTCTCACCTACAGCGTAGATGCCGCGTCGCCGTCATTGGGCATACGAAGGGCAGGAAGCGAATCCTTTGAAAAGGGCGGCAGGATCAGGCAGCGTTGCAGATGGAGCTAGGGACACCATGCATGATGGAGTCACCTTTTTGGGTCAGTGAGGTAGGTGAATCTTACTTACCTTGTGATCAATCACCCGAAACTTCGAATGCCAGCAACTTGCACCCCGCCACAGGCCTCAGGCGGCCTCAGGTAATCTCAGGTATATTAACCGCCCATATATTTGGTAGAGAAACACCTTGAACGATCAAGACTAGTGCAGGAAGAATCAGGAAGCTCCGGATAATATTTGCATATAGGATGATATAGGTTTAAACAAAGAAGACATACATCCTTTAAGAGAATCCATGAGAAAAAACAAAGAATCCATTTGAATCCTCAAAATATGTTCATGTCTTACTCGGTGGAATGCTTTCCTTTGAAGACTGGAGGATTCCAGCGATGAACTAGGACTGAATCGATGGAGAAAAAAACATGGTCAGCACTGTTAGCACCTGACAAACGTGGTGTGGGAGTGTGGGTTAAGTAAGTAGGTCTTAGTATAGTGAGTTTTTGAACCACCCTACCCAAGAGGTTGAGAAGAAAGCGAAGCGATGGCGAATTCACTGGGTATTTCTGATGTTTCTGGTGTACCTTTTGCGTGGCGCACGTGCTTTGGTTCATATGTACACGGTGTCGTGAGACTCACACCGGGTTCAAGAACAACTCTCTTTCCAAGAAAAATGGATGTGACCTCCAACCTACTGGCGATGGCCTCCAACCTAAGAGCGATCGCCTCCAACTCTTTTTTCAAGAAAAAAGGAAGTGAGACTCTGGCAAGTCGGAAATGGCCTCCACCCTGGTAGCTTCTTGTTACTAGTAGTAAGAATGCTCCTAGTAGTAAGGCCAGGAGCCCCTAGTAGCTTCTTGTTACTACTCTGGCAAGTCGGAAATGAGGTCACTCACTGAAGTGGTCAGATGTTGTCAGACGGCTACCAGGTGCGTTTTTCTTGACGTTGAATTGATGGGTTGATCAAAGATTCAACTTGATTAAAGCCTCGAAACCATTTGAAACCTTCTGGCGATCGCACAGCATAGGCAGCCATGTCCAAGCTTGGCTTGTAGAAAGCTTCGGAAGATGAAGCAACTTCTCAAATCGTTTGAGGCATGGCCCCAACCTGTGTAACACCAGGACTAGTTACTGTTTCCACGGCCTCTTCTGCATCCTGGATTAGTCCTGGTATCAACATCGCATCATCGTCCTGGGTTGCAGAGTCCCTGAATGATACAGTCATTTCTACCAGCATAAGAAAGACGGAATCGTTTTTGAATTGACACCATTTGACACCCACCATCCACCAGAATCGTCCGTGTGGTTTCACCATGTCCAACCGGTCGAGCCGAGCCGAGCTGCACAGAAGTGATGAGCAGATGGAGACAGGATGCAACTGTTGCACAACTGGGATGCATAGGAAGAAAACAACATGGCAACTGGATGTGTCTTGTGCCATGTTGTGCATGGAGGAATGATGAAAACATACATGATGTGAACCTAAGAAGATGCTTCAACTTTATCGAATCAACCGATCCTTTCATCCAGAAATTCGTCAAGAACTAGCACCACCCTACATCAGTCTACAGAGTCTTTGAAGCCTTGCAACAATTCTGATCAAGAGATCCAGAGAATGTCAGATCTTCGACACTGCAACACAACCCGCTTTTACGAATACAAGACATGCAGAGATACGTTGTCTACTTTCGCCTCACCATCAACTGGTGTGACCTGCATTCTCTCACAGAATACGCCACATGTCGCCAGACACTTATCTCTAGTTGAAGGTGTTAGCAAGCTAAACAATCCTTTGAGGCCAACTCACAAACCTTTGAGATCACATCAACCTGCGTTTGGTCCCGTTGTGCTGGCTTCTGGGACCAAAACGCTGGGAAGCAACACGTGTCTCTTGTCTTTCATGGCGAAGAGGAGGATCCGCCCGACGTCCCAAGAGGAGGATGGAGAGTGCATGGAGCTGGTGATGGGTGAACAGGCATTGAGGGCCAGTTTGGCGTTTAAAGGAAGGGTGGAGACAGGGTGAACATAAGTGGTTCACTCATCCTCCAACCTAATAGCAATTGCCTCCAACCTAATAGCACTGGCCTCGAACCGAATTACTAGCGATGGCCTCCAACCTACTAGCAATGGCCTGCAACCTGCTAGCAATGGCCTCCAACCTACTAGCAATTGCCTCCAACCTACTAGCGATGGCCTCCAACCCAATAGCGATGGCCTCCAACCTACTAGCGATGGCCTCCAACCTAATAGCAATGGCCTCCAACCTACTAGC